GTGCACCCACAATCGCTCGCGCGGCTGCATTCTGGACAAGCTGAAGTCTCCGAATGCTCTTCAAGGGCTGCCCCATGTAGAGCACATTGATACTGCCAATCCATTCCATCATTCCAGGTCTTGGGCTTAATGACATATTTTAACTAAAGTTAATTATACTTTATCTATAATTCTTAATGGAATCATTTGTAATAGGATGTTATGCTTTGCTAAATATTCATTTTTACTGTTGTTATTCTTTTTAGCTAGAACAGTTTTCTTCCTATCAAAATATGCTTGCCATTGTGTTTTTTCCAGGGATGTCCCTGTAATAGATATAATCTTTATTTTCTTGCATAACTCAATAGGTAGCAATAATTTTATGACCTTGGTTGAGCTTGGAAACTTGAGCTTGGAGATAGGCCTGGCTAATACTTGTTTAGGAGACTATCAATGAATTCAAGAGTTGTTGTTAGATTGTAAAGTTGAAAAAATAATGCAGAAGGTAATGGCAAATCACTTCCATGGTGTTTCTAAAAAAATGTAGGAAGGGAATCAAATGGGAATAAAATGTCTTTTACTTTCTATGTTTCTGTAGATTGATGATATATGCAGTAATGCATATAGTCCTGCATAAAGTTATTACATAAATGTTTTATAGGTTATGTTTTCATGGACTATATTGTTCATTAAATTCATAGAATGTACTAAGTCTGACAACATCTAATAATAATAGATTTGCTAATCTTGAAATTGCCAGAGTGTTGCTGTTTTTCCTGCAACAGACTAATATAACTACTTTTGTAGAAATGTATTTTTGAAGCATAAGAGTTCTATAAACTGTCCGAAACAATGTTTATATTTTTGATTTAATAAGTTTAGAATTCATTAATAGCTTTGCAAGTTTTAATTTCTTACACTGTTCATGAAATTGTAAAATCCATAAAAATATTATGCTTCTATGTTATTTTTTAAGTAGTGGAATTATATGTTTTAAAATCCTTACTTTGCCACAAATTTCAATAGGAATATATTTATAATAATTAATATAGGAAACAGTTCAAATAGCTTTCCCCATGTTATTAACAAAATAATAAGATATATGGAAACCTATTACTACAATCTAAGTATTATCTATAATATACTATGAGCCACTAACGGCTTTTAAAATGTATTAAAATTTATTTACTTGGTAAGTTCACTGTTTATTTTTGAGCGAGAAAACATTAACTACTTTCTATTTACAGTAAACTCTTCTGAGTTTTGCTTTCTCAGTTAGCCACTACCTAGAATACATCAATAGAACTCCACAGGAAAAGTTTTTCCTACAATGGAGAAAATTATATATTTTTGCTTTTTATTATTTTGTTTTTTGTAACTTCTGTTATTACAGAGAGCACAGTTACTGGGCCATTGTGGATAGACAAGGTTAGGTCTTCTGGCCTAATCTTAACTACACTTACTTTCAGGCTTAGCACTGCTTCTTTACTTTTAGAGATAATGTTCTCATTCCACACATATAAATCAGGAAAAACTATGTTCGTCCTCCAAATCTCATTATCTCTGAAAATGATTGCTTCCTTCTATGCAAATTCTTAATACATTCTTATGGAAGCTCACACAAAGCTAATAGAACAAAGAACAGAACAAACTCTTATCCTTTCTACTTTTTAAAAAACACAGTTTTCTTTAATTGAAAATTTATATGCAAAATTATGCCAATGAAAATGAATAAAATCTACTTTTAAGACATGTTAGGCAATGAGGAAAAGATGCTATATTCTATACACAACTGGATTCTTTATGTGCACTGCTTCAATAGGTAAATTACTGAGGAAATGCAGATTTTCTCCTGATAACTCTCCCAACTCATATGTGCTGAACTACGTGAAAGTGACATATACTATTTCAGATGATTTATATATATAGTTTGACTGCATCTCAGGAAAAAAAGAGAATGAACTGTGATATTCTTTCCCAATGTTCTCTGAGTATGCTTTTAAAAAAATAATGTGAAAATCTGTGTCTAAGCAAATTTGATTTAATAAGTAAAAATGTAAATTAACAGACAAGGATTAAGTTTTGTGGCAAATCTAACAAAGGCTAGAAGAAAAGCCTACTGTAGAGCTGGATGGACTTTATGTTTGAAAAAAGCCAGGCTGCAGAAACATAATATAACCCCAGATTCTCTCTCTGCACAATAATTGCTTTGTAACACATATTCTTGTAATAAAGAAAGCAAACACAGAGCTAACACAGATCAGGTCCTTTTTTTATATTTCTATTCAGACTACAAAGCAGGATTAGTCTATAACCTCATAAAGCACTGAGCTCAAGAAGGCAAAAAAGAAAAAAGAAAGTATCCTTTGTCTTTTACTTACCAGCCGAGGCTGAGGACATGTGTGCTCTATCTCCTCCATGATTTCCGAAGGAAGCTCATTAGAAAAGGATTTTGGGATACCTGTTTCTGACTCAGCATTAGTTGCGAGCACTGGCATGGCCAGTGAATGCTTCTTGTGATGATGGCCTTTCTGCTATTCTCTTCTTAGTCAGATAATGTTTTCTCAGGTAATTCTTTCTCTCCCTCACCTTCTTCCCCTTCTCTTCATTTCATTCCCTTGATAAATTAAAGGTTTTTCTTTCAAGAAGAAGCCAAGAGGCAAGGCCTCAGTTTGTCACTATAACAACCAGCTAGCAGCAGAGCAGTTGGTACATGATATAGTATTCTAATTTGCATGGCGCATTCTGGTTGGTTACTGTCATCATAGTACCACTTTGATTGAAGTAGCTGATATATGCTGGGAGGCAGATAGATATGAATGCCTTATTCCCTTTATTTAATGCTTTTCTGCTTAAATGTCACATGACTTTATACATTTAATAATGTTTTTTACATTTATTATTATACACTTATTTTATTTTGCATTTTTCTTCCTATTCTTTTAAATTAAAAGACTCATACTGGGATTTTGATGACTGAATTGCTCTAAGTTTAAAATTCTATTTCTGTATTTAAAAATAAATGTATGATTTAGAAAAAGAGGGCAAGATGAGCATAATGGGAAGACATAAACTGAGAAGAAATATAGAGAAAAATATTGAGCTAATTTAGCCCTGGCTTTAACAATGCTGAGTGAGTTGAGAACTCATAAATTCATCTTAAACTTGTCATAATAATTTCCACGCTATTATTTCAACCTTGCATTCCAATTCTTACACAACTTTGTTCTGGTGCTGAAGGGACAGCTCCTCTCAATAATAACCATCTATGTAAGTCAGTGATGAAATAATGCTGACTTATGTCAACTAGAGATAAATATAACTGATATAATTTTAAGTGAAGATTTTTTTGAAAGGGAATATAAAACTAATTCAAAATAACATGAAGTTTAAAAAAGAAAAGAAAAAGAAAGAAAAGAATTAAAGCGAAAGCTAAAAGTGGAAAAAAGTAAAAGAAGTAAAAAGAAAATATACAAAGAAGTAGTTTGCTATCTTGTTTACTGTAGAGCAGTTATAAATATCAATATAGATTTATATCCTACTTTATGAGTCACCACATAACTCTCTTGTTTTTATCATTTATCCCAGTGTTTGTCAACCTTGACAGATTTAAGATGTGTGGGCTTCAACACTCTGAATTTCCCATCCAGCATGCTGGCTGGAGAATTCTGGGAATTGTCATCTACACATTTTAAAGCTGTCAAGGTTGAGAAATGCTGTTCTATCTTGTGTAATAATCAAAGCCATATATCATAAGTTCATTTTTTCTGTTTCATACAAAAAGTCTACACAATGTGTCCCATCAGCAATAAACATAGATATTGTCTTTTCTTTGATCAAAGAAGTCAGTTTAGCTATCTCAGCCAATTTCATTATCTTCACTAATTGTAGGTAATGCAAAATCTTTCTATTTTGTGCAACTTGCTGCAATTATCATATATAAAACAAAATTGTATGACTTGTTCCAACTGTTCATCAATTCCCCCAAAAATCTTTAATCTTAATTGTTTATTAATCTTTAAAATCCTCTGAAACAGCCCTTAAAATGCCAAAGAAATTGTCCCTCAAACAAGAACACTGGGCCCAGTACTTCCAGCATTTCAATTTCATTCTCTGGTACCTCTCAGGGGAAAATAATTTTCTGCCTGATGCTCTGTCGCACTATTTAACAGATAAATCAAACAAAAGTCCCTTCTTGCTGTTCCTATTTCTAACATAAATTTGAAGTCCTTTAATACAGTCTAGACAATTTCTCTGGTGACATATACAACCAATAATTTTATTTTAAAAATCTCTTTAATATTATAATGTAGTTTATAATTCAATCTTTCCAGACACATATGTTCACATTGTTCCATCTGTATAACAAATTTTAGACCATTTTATCAAACATTTTTTCACATGTTCTTCTGTTTCAAATTAAAATGAAAGTTTATATGTTTTAGCAATTACATTTTCAATTACAATTCTATTTCAAAATCAGTCTTACAGTGTCCAAAATCATAAATTCATTTCTCTACCTTAAATACTTCTATTAATTGTAAATAAGAGACCATTGACAGCTATAGCCCTCAGCCATAAAGCTATTTTCTGGCACAATCTGAGTTTATGTTGTACTAACACTAGAAGCTTTCTATTTCTCAGCAACACCCACTCATCCATCAAAACCAAATAGCAACTGCAAAATATAATTTCAAATCAAGCAATCCCAGTCCTCTTCTTTTCTTTAGATTTTGTAACACTTTCTGTTTAACTCATGTTTTCCCCTGCCACAGATAGATATATTCCTCTGTCATTGTTTAAATGGTTCATCACTTGTTAAAACAACTGTTGTTTAAAACAAAAGTATCATTTTAGGCAAGACATTCATTTTTATCACAGAAATTCTCCCCAGCAATGACAGTTGTCATTTCTCACATCTTAACTTGTCTTTTAAACTTCATTTTATGTTTTAACATAGTTATTTTGAAATAATATACAATGATGTCAGGTCCCCATAGATTCCTATTGGGATCTGCCATTCTGGCAGGGAGGGCCAGGATGCTCCTTTACAACCTTTTCCTATTTCTATCACTTTGATGTGTCTTCTTGGAAAAGTGCGGATTGGGTGATAGGCCTGGGGCCATATCTTTTGTCTCAGCTCTGAAGGAATGGGCAAAGTGGTGCCTAAGAACAACTTCTTATCACCTTCACAGCTCGAATTGTCACAACTTCGCACCTGTGAATTGGCTCACCTTGGACTGGACATAGGGGAGGGGTTTAAGCAATGTTTAATCTAAAGGTTCTGAGTGGGAATTTCAGATCCTGCCTTATTTTTCTTGCTATCACTATATCCCAATAAAAGTTTCCTTTTGAAATGTTATTTGTTTCAAGAGTTCTGTTTTCTTGAGGAGAGAGGAGAGGGAAGTCCTTACATCAGATAGGATCTGCAAAAGTGGTCAACCCAGAGATATTTTGTTCTACTGAAGGGACTCTGCAAACCACAATCAACCATGGTAG